TTTGGGTGAATTATACCTCATAAATACAGTGTGTGACTCTTTCAACACCATTTTGAGGTGTCCAAGTTGTTGAGAAACAATGTGAAGACTTATGCGACTGCCTTTTTGACCCTGAAAATATAATTGGCTGAATCGTAGAAATGCTGGATTAGGATGGTCTAGGGGGTTGAATCGAGATCATGATCATTTTTTGATTATTCGTGCAGTCCTAGTATGAGGGCCCTAGAAAATAAAAAAACTCTATGGGTGCATCTTTGTTAGCTTCCTAATTCCTGAGATCGAGAATCAGCAGGTCTTGTACACCAATTCAGACACTGATAAGGACAGCAGTGAGTTTAATTCACTAGACATTAGGACACTGAGCATGACCTGAGAATGTCTTTGACATACATCATCAAATCTGGAATTTATATAACACAATCATTTTCTAAAAGTTCAATATAGGTAAATAGTTTAATTGTTATATATACCAGCAATATTGCAATCTTTTCTCATTTAAACATGTTTGCTATATTGTTCTGTACCTCTCTAACCTTGTTTATTTATGGTTAAAGATAAAAAGATGATGGATTGTTAAAACAAAAAAATATATATATGATGGATGTGTGAAAATTATTTATTTTTTATTAGCACAAATACCTCACAGCAAAAAGGTTGGTGGTTCGAGCCCCGGCTGGGTCAGTTAGTATTTCTCCCTGTGTTCATGTGGGTTTCCTCCTGGTGCTCCGATTTACCCCACAGTCCAAAGACATGCGGTACAGGTGAATTGAATAAACTAAATTGGCCGTAATGTTTTTGTATGAATGCAAGAGTATATGGGTGTTTCCCAGTTTCCAGTTTCCCAGTTGCGGCTGGAAGGGTATCTGCAGTGTAAAACATATTCTGGATAAGTTGGCGGTTTAAAATGAATTAATGAATAATAGATTTTTTGATAATCTTCAATCAAAGTCTGGCCTATTGTTTCCATGTTTGGAGTGGCAGTACTTCTCTGTTGACATCAGTTTGACAGCTTTAGCCAGTATTCTTAACTATGCCCTTCTTACCATTAGTTTGCTACTAAGTGAATAATGCAGAAAAAGAAAACCTGCTCCCTACTTAATATTCCATTTCAGTTAGAAGCACATCAGCATACTAAAATAAAATTGTCAAAGACGTCTGGTTCACAGAGACTTTAAATGAACATAATTACTATTGATGCTCTCTGATTTTTTTGCAGTGCATTATGGGACTTTTCAAGGAGCAAAAGTTTCAGTGGACTGAAACTCCCTGATCAGTGCCCTGACTACTAAACAAAGGAGCTAATTGAGACTCACCCTATGTTAAATAGGTACAAAGACATGGATAAATTAGAGTGCATGTTTCTTTGTTTGCTATAATAATTATAAAATGCAGTATATTATACTTAATATTATATTATCTGAGTTTTAAAAACTTATCTTGTAACTAATATCCATGTATCAAATAACGACTCTTGTAAATAATTTATTCAATAAGCATTTATGAGCTGATGCTAATACGGCTGCTGTTATATCATGCATCATTACCTGTTATTTGTTCAAATAGTTTAGAACATTTAACTGATAAAAGAAAGTATTCTTTGGGCTTCAGCCTACAAAACAACATACTTTACTACATTACAAATCAACCTAATTCAAGAATGGTACATGTGTATTAAAACACAATTTCCTTCAAGGTTTATTTTTAACCTGACAAGCACTCGCTGTATAATAACTTCACATGTCTTGTATGTCAGCAGCACATAAGTGCACATGAATGTAGTGTTCGCATAGTGAACATGTTTGAAGACATATGACCCCATTAACAAGATCTCAGGGCTGCCAGCAGCCGCTAAATGAGGAACTTGATGTCTCCTGATGGATAATGCAAACACGTCCCCCTGACATTGCTTAAATATTTTAGGGCAGTTAGTTTGTCAGTTTAGGTCAGTAAAAAAAGAGCAGAAAATTTGTTTTGAAATATTAATATCTCCAATAAATGCTTTCTAATAATCAAAAGAACTTAAAAACTGGTTACACAGTATTAAATTGCACAAGTGTTTTCAGCAATGATAAAAATGTTGCTAGGAGCACTAAATCAGATGAAGGATGATGAGACACTAGAGACTGGAGTAATTGTGAGTGATGATTTAGTTTTTCCATCACCAGAATTAACTACTTTTAAAATATATTAAAATAAGTTACTTTAAATTGTGATTTATTCTGTTTTATTGCTTTTTTGTTCAAATACGTTTTGGTTAGAATTAAAGGCCTAAAGAATATTTTCTTATATGCAGGAATTCTGCCTTGATAGTGTTTTTACTTATAGATTGCTTGCTTATTCTGTCACATTTTCAAAGTTGTAATTTTTTTATATTATCAATGAGGGACAATACATTCAAGTACTGTATATTATACAAAAGTATCTTACACAACAATATATTAGGGTGTTGTTGGACAGTACATTCAACAACAATAAATTCCCTTTGATAGTTTGCGCTCTGCAAGTCACCGTCAGTTTGATTGTGATTTATCTTTGCCAAAACTATTGGTGATTTATGACTTTTTGCTCTGTGTATGAGAAATCATCGATCTATGTTTGTGAATATCTCATTCTTTTTGCTCAGCCTCACACTGAGAAAGTTGAAGATAGGCTGAGAATTATTGCAACTCTGTGTTGCTAGATGACTTATTTATTCAGTAGACAGACACAGACAGATCATAACAGATAGCTTTAAAGGCACAGTGTACCTCATTCTGCAAATGAAAATATTGTTTCACTGATCCTAATGTCAGTATGAGCTATGACTGAGCTATGACCTTTCTTGATTGTGACGCAAAAGAAAGTCTTATCTTAAGGTGCAGACACGTGTTGCTGAGTTTAAATCATTTTTTTGGACGAAATCTAGCCAGTCTAATAGGATTGTGTGAAATTAAGAGTTCTGGATGCAAGTCATTCTGCTGCATTTCGTGGTCATACATTAAGTGTTTGAGCTGTTGTATTAAACATGATGAAATCAAGCGGTAAGTCACTATAAAAGCATCATACAGTTACTCATTTGACTGAACAGTTATTTGCCCTGGATAGTCTAGGGGAGTAAGGTTGCATACTTGAACTGAGGATTTGGTTGAAACAGAAACTCTAACTAAAATTGTGCTACAAAGAAAGGATGGACAATAGTAACTTGTCTATAAAATAATAGTGATTTATTTACAAGTGGGGATGGTGAAACAGTGAGTTATTTACAATATTGACAATTTTAGAAACAATGAACTGAATTTTTTGAAAGACTGGCTATGGGTGGCGCTAAAGTAAAGAACCAATCAAAACCAAAAGAGTCCTACTAATATTCAAAAACAATCCCCTCTAATCTAATCTAGTAAACAAAAGTTATAAAATAAATAAATATTCAACATCATTGACGTCCTACCCAGTGGTGTAGTCCTTAAAAAAGGTGGTGTACTATTACCCACCCATTCCAAATTTTTAAAGTAGGCAAAGAAACGATGAAAGTCAATGTTTCTTTGATTTATTACCTATATATATATATATATATATATATATATATATATATATATATATATATATATATATATATTAAACATCAATTGACTTCTATCTATTGACTTCCACAGAAGAAAAAAACAAAAACTGTGAAAGTCAATGTTTACAAGTGTCCAGCTTTCTTCGAAATATCTTCTTTTGTGTTCAACAGAATAATAAAAACATTTTAAAAAGACAAACCGGTTAGGAACAAGTAAAGCAAAAAAATTTTTTTGGGTGAACTATCCATTTATCAATATTTAAACAAATTTATTCATTTTAATACCAATTCAATTATGCTTAGCTAATAGTGACCTCAGCAGACCCGAAGATTGGCTAATAATATCGAGCTGTATTTAAATGTATATGAGCCCAAGTATATATACATTATATTATGCAGATATTCCAACAATCTATTGATAAACACACCTTGTGCGTATGGTCTGCACAGCTGTGGTTTGCTGACTAAATGGAAAACGAGTTGAAAACAGAGCGGAAATCTGCCACCAGTTTTATATCAAATTTAAAGGGTACTGTGGCGGTTATCGAGAGATGTACAGTTCATGATGTAATCGCTAAAGTTTTAGGGAGGCCGAATGGAAATATAGGAGTGCTAAGGAGCACCCATGCTGTTTTTTTAATTTTACTTGAAAGTTTCAGCAATACATCAGCTGATTTGTTGTGATCTTCGGAAAATTCTCACGAAATGTTCTCACAGCTGCTGCGGTTGTCAGGGAGCAGGGAATGGCGCAAATGAAACAAATGCACCTATTGCAACAGATTAAGATGCACGGTAAAAAATACATTTGGTAGACCGTTAAAGGAAACACGAATACACATCAATTAGGGAAGTCTAATAACCAAAACAAGTGAGTGTACCGAGGGTATACGCTATTGATCCTCAGAAGTTGTGATACTCAAACAGCTCGTGGAAAAAAGTAGGCATACTGAGTATATGTGCATATAACAAGGACTACACCACTGGTCCTACCTTATCTACACTAACTATGTAGCAAAAAATACAAAGGTTGGCGCACACCCTTTTACCTAGAGTATCTCTAGACATTTGTAATCCTACGTATTGAGATGTATGTCACGTGACTTACTTACTAACCAGCCTTTCTAACCTCAATGACAAACACGAGGGTAGGGAAAAATGCTAACACAAGAGTAAGAAAAGACAGCAACAAAATTCAAACAACAACAACAACAACACAGTTCAAACAATATCAAAAAACTGAGTTATCAAAAAATACTAAAGTATTGAAAAAATACTAGCAAAAAGCACAAATGCAAATCATCAAAGCAAGCCAAAAGACTGTCAAACTGCTGGAATGAAGAGTTTTTTTTTTAAATGAGTTTAGTTTTGTTTTGTCTGCATTTCTCTCTAAGCTCATGATTTACTAAATAACAGATGTTTTCTGTAATCAGCTCAATCTGACATTCAATTTTCTTCACAGGAGAATCCACTTTTGTTGACGACCACGGGCCTCCTACACCGAGGGTGAGTTGTTGTTTTTTTTTTTTTTCAATTGTCCTGTTTCTCTGGCCTTCTCACTGTACAGGAAATCAGTTCAGGATTTAGTGTTCATTGTAGACTCATTTCCTCAGATTTGACAGTGACTGGAAGTTCTCTCATACACACACACACACACACACACACACAAACACACACACACATACAAAGAGAAAGAGACACCACACAAAGCTACATTCAGCCACACATTCACATTTAACAACCCAATAAAATGGTTTGAAGAATGTGGTTTTGTGTCCTATGTGGATGTATTTCCTGTTAAAACAGGAAGGTTGAGTGGTAGAGTATGAAGGACATTTTATTAATAGCCATTTTACACTACAGCCTGGAAAAATGTTATTTCTGTTAAAAAAATCAAAGTGATAGTCCTTGACTCTCTATGTTCAGGATTGCTGAATGAAAAACATTTATTTAATACTTATATTTTTGGTTCTGGTTCGCTTAAGTAATTTTTAGGAACAAAAATAAAAATGCAAAATAACCAAAAAACAGTTTTTAAACATACAGTAGATGTCTAAAATAGTAAACAATTTACATGAACCACTTATTTATCATAAAAAATCTGATGTACAACCAAAATCTAAAATAACCAAAGCACTTAAAAACAAACATGCTTTATTTTGTGGAAAAATATTCAAATGAGCTGTCCCGTAGCTTGCGGTGATCGTATAGTGGTGGGGCGTCACAGTGGCACAGTAGGTAGTGCTGTCGCCTCACAGCAAAAAGGTTGCTGGTTCGAGCCTAGGCTGGGTCAGTTGGCATTTCTATGTGGAGTTTGTATGTTCTCCCCGTGTTCGTGTGGGTTTTCTTCCGGGTACTCTGGTTTCCCCCACAAGCCCAAAGACATGTTTGTACAGGTGAATTGGGTAAGCTAAAAATTGTTTGTAGTGTATGTGTGTGATTGCGGGAGTGTATGGATGTTTCCCAGTGATGAGTTGCAGCTGAAAGGGCATCCGCTGTGTAAAAAATATGCTGTATAAGTTGGAAAGTCATTCCACTGTGTTGACCCCAGATTAATAAAGGGACTAAGCTGAAAACAAAATGAATCAATATTCAAATGAACTGCCCAAAGCAATCACACCACAATTTGTTAGAATTCTATAAGCATATCTTTTGATCTTGATGGATTGGAAGTCCACTTTACCACCTACTTTTTAAAAATAGCTGACTGAAATGGTGGTTTAAGCTTGAAAAAAATTGTTTTGCTTGGGCAGATGCCTCTAAAAAGTTTAACAAAATCTGGAAACTCTTCCTTGCTTATCTTTTCAAGAGTTGAAAGTAGGACACTAATGATTCATAAACTATTGTAATGCTACTTTTCTACTCCATTTTTAATGTTTTGAGTTTGATCAAGTAAACTTGATGGTCTATATTATTTTCTCTATATGTTGCATGTTATTATTTTATGTTGTTTTTTTATCTGTATTTTTTGTTATCATTTGTATAAAAAAGTATTATAGATTGTATAAATGTTTTTGTTCTGTTTTGTGCTTATTAAAACTGATATAAATAAAATTTATAAAAATAAATAAGATTTGTATAACCATGCGAAAAGTAAACCAGAGTAATACGTGCATCTGACAAAAGTAAAATGAATCGACTTCAACTTCAGTTTGCTGGGATATTATGAAATAAAAGCTGAAAACATTTTATATTATGAAGTATTTAGCTGACAAAAAGAGATGTTTATGCTTGAAATTTTAAGTGTCAAAAAAGCAATTATGAAAGTTAAGTTGATGCATACATTCACGACTGCTCATCTTATCAATGCTTCCATTAAAAGGAGGACTTCTCTGTTGATGTTGATGTAGGATTAGAGAGAGAAAGTGAAACAGAAAGAGTATAAAGAGCCAGCTTGATTTTAAATGAGTGTTGAACCCAGTGAATGTTTCAGCTGGGTTTGCTCAGAGGATGAACCATTGCTCTGTTTCATAATAGTAGGTTTGAAGCCATCACTGCGGTTTGTCTCTGGTTTTTTTAAAGACGTGTTGAAAAACGAATCATTATATGCGTTACAGGACACAGTTGTTTTAAGATGCAAGTCTTAAAGCACTTGTTGCATGTTTCAATTTCCTGTAGATTTGAAATGATTCATAAGCATGTTTGTAATCTGTGTTATAATCAGTGTTTAGTGGTTAAACATAGCTCCAGAGAATTACTCTCATTTCTCTGCAATACATGTGCTATTTTCCATCTCTTTGCTTTCAAATGATTCACAGACTCTGGAATGCTGGGATGATTCATTGATAGTATTAAGAACTGAGTGTGAGCGCACATGAATATGACAGAAGAGAACAGGAGAGGAGGATCCACCCATAAAAATACTCTTGCGAATTGCAGAGATAGTCCTGTGCAAATATAAACTGTACAAGCAATGTTTTAATGTTTGTTTTTTTTTTTTCTAGAGGGATTGTTCTAATACATTCTGCCATTTCCTGTATTAAATATATACAGTACACTCCAGAGGCCTCTATACCACAGCAAAATAGATCTACAGTGTATCCAATAATCTCATGAGATCAGTTCAGTAGATACACCATCTGGTTTTTAAAAATAATTCTTGTTAAAAATTGTGTTTTAGAGTGTGTTTAGCAATTTAGAAGACGTACTTCACAGTGAATCTTCTAGATTAGATTTAAATTATATATGTTTTGCTTATATGTTTACATACACATTGTCGATCTTTACATACTAAACAAAATAGTACATTTGTCAAAAAAAACAAACTGTGCAAAAGTGTACATATCCTTGAATCTTAACAGTTTGTTATTATCTGAATGATCCACAACTGTATTCAGCTTTTTTAGATAGTTGTTTGCGAGTCCCTTGTCCTGAGCAGTTAAACAGCCCACGGTTTAGAAAAAATCCTCTGCATTCTTTGGTTTTTTGGCATCTGCTGCATGTTTGGCCACTTTCCAGCTGAGGACTATTTTGAGGTGCATCTTTTCACACTAAGCATAGGTGAGGAACTCATTATACAAATTTCAAAATATTGCATTTTTATCTGATCATACTTTTTTTCTGATGCTCAAGGATGGAAACTTGCATTAAGATGCATTAACATGCCATGATGACAGTACAGGCTACGCAGTGGCACAGTAGGTAGTGCTGTCACCTCACAGCAAGAAGGTCGCTGGCTCGAGCCTCGACCGGGTCTGTTGGCGTTTCTGTGTGGAGTTTTCATGTTCCCCTTGTGTTCGCTTGGGTTTCCTCTGGGTGCTCCATTTCCCCCCACAGTACAAAGACATGCGGTATAGGTGAATTGGGTTGGTTAAATTGTCCGTAGTGTTTGAGTGTGAATGAGTGTGTATGGATGTTTCCCAGAGATCCGGGGGCATCCGCTGCGTAAAACATACCGGATAAGTTGGCGGTTCATTCCGCTGTGGTGAATTCGAATTAATAAAGAGACTAAGCTGAAAAGAGAATGAATGAATGAATGAATAAATGATGGCAGTACATAATATTTTACTACATATTTTACAAGACCCTAGTATTTAGCAAGTTAGGGCAATTAGGCAAGTCATTGTATAAAGTTTGTTCTGTAGACAATCGGAAAAAAATAGCTTATAGGGGCTAATATGAAATAGTTTAATATGGTTTAAAATAAATATTAATTATTATAGCCAAAATAAAACAAGGACTTTCTCCAGAAGAAAAATTTTATCAGACATGCTGTGAAAATTTCCTTGCTTTGTTAAACATCATTTGGCAAATATTTGATAAAAAAAATCACTAATAAAATTCATTAATAATTTATTATTTTATTTATTTATTTATTTATTTTATAATAAAAAATATATATATAATTTAGGGCAAAAATTGACTGTACATACAAACTTTGTTTAAAAATGATATTTTTTTCTGTTCTGGAATAAACAAAAGACACAGATTTTCTTCTTTAGACAGTGTAAAACTGAAGCTCTCTCTGACCCTGAGCCACAAAGACAGACAAAGATAAGAGTGTGTGCATCAGCAGCTGGCCAAAGACACTGAAGGAAATAGAAAGAGACTCAAACAGATCCATGTTTAATTATGGTGTTTAAGCCTGATTTGCTTTAATAAGAGGCAAACTATGTTTGCTTTAGTTTGGGGAACAGAGCTGAATTCAGGGCTGGGGAATTCGGAACAGTATGATTGCAAAATAGCATACTATTCACTGTACTTTCCATCTGAGAACAAATCGCCAAGTGAATTTAATGTAAAATGTTAAAGTCCTGCACTTCAGACAGATGTGCACAAGAATGTATTCGAGAGCATGTGTGTACTGTATTTACATAAGTGTATATACAGTTTTACAGTTTAGAATAAAACATTTGGAAAATATGACTGCCTGAATGTGATGTAATGTAATCAAAGTCCACTTGAGTGTATGGATGTATATAAATCATCCAGTTTCCACCTAAACCTCTTCTGTTCGCTATATAAAGATGTACCTAGCATTTTCCAAGGTAACAATGTTTCGTGTGGATCTGTCTAGTCTGGGAAAGTAGCTGAAACCCCCACAGTTTCGAAAAGACCTCAAGCCAGCAATGACAACAACCACTATTAACATCTCACAGCTGTGGAAAAACAAGTCTATAAGCACACAAACTCTGAACAGGCATTCACAAACTTGGGCACACAACAACATACTATGAAACTAGTAAACTAGACAGTTCAAAAGAACACTATTTATTGGGAAAAGAAATCTTTTGTAACAATGTCATTGTCTTTACTGCCATGTTTAACCAATTAAATGCATCTTTGCTGAATAAAAGCATTAGAAATGATTAATTAAAACAAAATACAAATCTTAAAAGATAAAATAAACCCCAAAACTGTAAACAGTTTGTTAAATCAAACAGATTGCATTATTTATTTTTCAGTATTACAGAACTCAAGAGATGAAATAGAAAGTCTGATTGTGTTCATATTAAAGGGGAAATAAAAGAGTGAGTGAGATAGAAATGGAGATGGAGTGAATGAAAATGGGATGTGGGAGAATTAGCGAGGCAGCTGGGCTCAGACAAGGCCTCTTATGTGTGTGCGAGGTGAAAAGAGGGCATTCTCCCTCAACTTGAACCGTATTTGTTGTTTTGGACGAGAGCGCAGTTCCACACTATGAAGCGTGAGACTGAGAGACAGAGAGTAATGAAAGGCATGAGGGGGTCTAGACTGGAAGGGGGCTGGTTTAGGTAATAAGAAGGGAGTTTATTTACATGCCTGAATTAATATGTGCGTTTAAAATCATGTCACACATTAAATGCATAAACACAAACACATACTTTCCACTCTAATTATTTCACTTGGGAGCATTTTTTCACCCTAGGCCAAGTGGAAATATGTGAAAACATACCTACACATACATTTAACTGCAATTTGCAGGTGAAATATTCACCGAACAAACACACTGCAGTAAAATTTGAGTTCTTGTATTCATAGCATTCAGTCAAAGCATATATTAGGCGACAGCACACACCGGACTGTTGTTTGTGTTCATTAATAACTGTACCATTTCAAATCAGACATTTATTTTATTTAATTGTAAAAATAATTAGTTAATATTCTGTGAAAATCTATATCATTAGCAAAAATAGATCACAACAGAATCAATGGTTGTTTTTTGTTTTTTGTTGTCTTTTTGAACAATTCAAGTATGTCAATAATTTAATGATCCTTTTAGAAAAGTGTTTGTGGTCACACATTACAATAAGGTTTCATTAGTTTGTGGATTTACCAACAAGGACTAATAATGAGCAATACATGTACAATAATCATAATCATAGTTCAACATTTACTAATGAATTATTAAAATCCAAAATCATAATTGTTAACATTTGTTAATTCACTGCGAGTTAACATGAACTAGTGATTAACAGCTTTATTTTCATAAACTAACTTTAACAAACATGAAGACATACCCAAATAAATGTATTGTGCATTGTTTGATCATGTTAGTAAATGCATTAACTAACACAACCTTATTGTAAAGTGTTACCGTGTTTGCTGCTATCTTGAATGAATCATTTGAATGAATCAGTTGAATTAATTACTCATTAATACAGTCACTTTCCACCTCCTAATAGCAATTTATTTTCATGTTAAAAGTTTTACTGCATTAATCCAACATATTTGTATATAAAAGATATTAAAATCACTAAGCTCATTGCATTATTTATGCGGTTGTAATTTGGCAACGTATATTCACTGGTGCTACTTTTGAACACAGTTTGATAAAAGAGCTCAATACAGCAAGGTAAAAGCCATGACTGCTTTAGCAGATATGGTTTTATTTCAGGTAGTAGTATGTTCAATTCAAATGGGATTAAAGCATTAAAGTATTCTTTTTTACTTTAGTCACTATGTTGAATTTCTCAACTGCTATGTGACATTCAACAAACAATGCTATACAATGTTACCACGTTTATATAATTTACCCCCAGAAATTAAACATTTTGGTTTGAAAGGGCTGTGAAACACACTACAATAAATATGTAATTGTGTTTTGTTTAATAAAACCATATCCACTATGGAGAATAAATAGTATAACTCAAATCACAACCTTTGTCATGATTATATATTTCTAATATACACACATACACTGGGGTCAGAGCAGCTCTCCGGACCCTAGTTTCATCCAGGTTACTTTCCTCTGACTCGTTTTTAAAACTAGAGTAGGGCTTCACAATATTGGATAAATCTGACAGTTCAATATTTTTTTTCCACTGCAATAAATATTGCGATATAAAATACATTTCACCAGATGACTTAAATAGCTTTGTTTGCCAAATCATTGTTTTAGATTGATTGGGAGGATCTTGTAGGGGAGTGAAATTTACATATATTTGTATGTAATTTATTATATACATACAGTGAATCTGGAAAGTATTCATAGCGCTTCACTTTTTGCACAATTTTTTATGTTAGAGCCTTGTTCCAAAATGGATTAAATATATTTATTTCCTCAAAATTCTACACACAATACCCCATAATGACAAAGTGGAAAAAGATTTTTTGAAATCGTTTCAAATTTATTAAAAATAAAAAACCTGATAAATCACATGTACACCAGTATTTACAGCCTTTGCGGTGACGCTCTAAATTGAGCTCAGGTACATTCTGTTTCCACTGATCATTCTTGAGGTGTTTCAGCAACTTAATTGGAGTTCACCTGTGGTAAATTTAGTTGATTGGACATGGTTTGAAAAGGCATACACCTGTCCATATATGCTTCCAGGGTTGACTGTGCATGTCAACGCACAAACCAAGCATTAAGACAAAGGAATTGTCTGTAGACCTCCGAAACAGGATTGTCTTAAGGCATAAGGCTGGGTGGGGAAGGTTACAGAAAATTTTTTGCTGCTCTAAAAATTCCAATGAGCACAGTGGCCTCCATCATCCGAGAGTGGAAGATGTTTGGAACCACCAGGACTCTTTCTAGAGCTGGCCGGCTATCTAAGCTGAGTAATCAGGGGAGAAAATAAATTTCACTTCAGTATGGTTCAATTTTGCAGCATCTCCACAAATCTCACATGTTTTGACCTGTGGTTTCTGATCAACTATAAATTCAACTCTACATTGCCTATCTTGCATTGTGACTTTTGCGGACACATACATGCGATATTGATGCTCAAAGTCTCAAACAATAAATTGTGCAGCTCTACACTGGAGCTACCGGACTTTTATTTAAGAAAGGTCATGTTTTTGGAAGATAAACTGTAATTGTGTACGAGTTACTAGACTGCTTCAAGTTATTTTTAACAAAGTTATTACGAACAAATTACAAAATGTATAAATGGTCAAAATAACTGCCTCTGTATGGTTCTAGTGTTAATTATTTTATTGAAACATTCTCAAAAATCTCTTATTATTCATAAGAATTATATTTGTTATTACTGGCTCAAAGTCTCGAACGGGATAACCCTTTAGTTCTATAGCAGAAATTAGAATATTTATCTTTCAGTATACATACTTATTACACATTATAGAATGTTTTGATCCCTAAATTGACTTGTAATTAGGGCTGAGTGATTAAATGTAAATTATTCGAAATCGACATTCAAAACCTATAATCAATCAAATATTTCCTAATCCATTTTTTCAAATACTTTTACTACTTCATTTATGACTGTACTTTTCAGGCAATGTGTTTTTTTAATTTCAGTTGTTCAACGCTGATGTTCAATAAAAAATCATAGATAATAAATAGTGTGTTTCTTTCAATTATTTTTAAATCAAGTATTTTTTAATCAAGTAATGCACCCTTCGTTTAAAAATCTCTCACTTTTAATACGTGAGCATATTTACTGTACAAAACCTGTCAATGAACTATAAAATAAAATAAAATAAATACATAAAATAATCAATCATTACTTGTAATTTAGTTAAAATGTTCAATCAATCGAGATTTAAAATTTAGGCCAAATCGCAAAGCCCTACTTGTGATTCCCATTTTTTTTTGTCTTTAGACTTTTTGTGTAGGCTATCAGTTATTAAATTGAATGAACATTATCATGCTTGTGAAAATTGGTCAGAAGCTTGGTTTTCCTCTAATAATAACATGTATGCATTTGAATGTCTGTGTCTCTAGGAACTGCCATTCCCAAGTCAGGTGATCTACAACAGGGTTGGCAAGTGTGGAAGTCGGACCGTGGTCCTGCTGCTAAGGATTCTGGCAGAAAAGCACCAGTTTAACCTGGTGTCCTCTGACATCCATAACAAAACCAGACTTACAAAGCATGAGCAGGTCAGTGGATGGGTGAGTGTGTGTCTGAGGCAAATAACACCTATGAGAATTTGTGTAGTATGCTGAGATAAAAAGCTTAGTGTGATGACTTGCTGATGTGATTAAATAAAGGTGTTTGCCAAGGGAAATGCTCCCTGTGTGCCAGCAGCAATGAAACACATCCGAATGGCACTCATTGTGGAGAAAAGCACACACTTTATTTCCTTACGGAGAGGAAAAGAAAATATTCTGTCATCCCTTTTGGGTCGAGTCATGCCGCTACACCTCCACACAGCTAAACTCAACCTACTGTATGAAAAGTTCAAATAAATACTCTAATGAAATAACACTCATACAGTGCATTTGTTGAGCGGGGGAGTGAAATTAAAGTGAAACTGAAGAAATTTTTGACAGGAAGTCTATCCTTATTCAATAATATTTTCATAATTCCATCTGGACAGTATGGGGTCTGAATGCTGGAATAAAATGATTTTGTGAGTGATAAATTATTCATAAGTGTAAGAGGGTAAACTGGTTAGATGTACAGTAAACATTCAAAGCTAATATTAAAAGTGAGTGTTTACAGGGGGAAGCTCAGAACACAAGCATGTTTCATTGCCATCAGAAAGACCCACTGTCTGAAATGTGTGTTGAGAAGGATGAGAGAGAGTGGAAAACAGCCATTGGAAAACCTGGACCACTCTTCTTTCCAACACAAAAGAAGATATTTTGAAAAATGTCTGTGGATCTCATTATTCTTAACATTTTTTATTGTTATAGAATATGTAGGGGATAATGAAATGTTTGCCATGCATTAAATAATTTTACCACATTGCACTCAGTAAAAGTTTGTTCTAATTGGTCAATCACAACATGCCAAAGTCACAGCATGTTATATATTATATATAGGGCTGCACGATTCTGGCTTAAATGTGAATCACGATTTTTTTTGCTTAAAATCAAGATCAAGATTCTTTCTCATGATTCTGTAGATGTAAAATAAAGGTTAATATGAGTAGACTATTATTATTATTGTTGTTAATTCTCAAACATGTGGCCACCTTGAAATTATAAGGATCTATCTGCGTTCAGGATGATTTTGAGATAATGAGCTTCAAAGTTTTTGCAATCCATATAGCAAACAGTATGTGTGCAAAAAAGTCTTAAAATGTAAACAATAAGTTGCCAATTAATAAGAGTATGTCAATAACTAAATTTTGACAAAAATGTCAGATAGAACCTTATAATTCTAAAGTGACGATATGGTAAAACAACAATAGTAATATTAGGCTTATATGTAGGTCTACTCTTGGTTAAAATGATACATTTTGTACGGTCATTATGGTGGACTTGAGCAGACTTTTAATATGTCCTGTTTGTTAATTCACAGTAAAATGATGACATCAGAATATAACTATTCATAATTAAAAAAATAAATTATTATGTTTGAGACATACTGTAATAGTGACGTGTGTTTTCCCTGGTAAAATCAGACATTTGTCATTGTCAGATTTCTTCTTGCATTATATTCAACATTAGGCTATATAAGCTAGAGTAGCTATACTGAAACTGTATAACATTTATTTTCATGCACAACACTGTGTGGTAGCTATGAATAAAAAAAAACATATCAAATGCTTGCTGTAATCATAAAATGCGTTATGATCATTTAAATGATGTGCAGCCAGTTTCATTTTTACTTCCTAGTGCAGCTCATGGCTGCCGCTCTCAAACAATTGCTCTGTGCAACAAACTGAATGTTATTTACTACTTCATTACCTGTTATTCACAGCCTATGCAGGTTCTGTTCACTAAAGTAGCCGTCATTGGTGTGTACGTGCGTGTGTTTTTCAGCAGTAAACAAACAGCCTCGCGGTCAGCTCACTTGTGATTTTGCAGCTGTGAATACATTACATGAAGACAAATTACATTTCTGGGTGAATTATATCTTATAAATACAGTATGTGACACATTTAACACCATTTGAGGTGTTCATGTTCCTTTAAGGACTTGTACGACTGCCTTTAAGCTTCTCTTGTGACCTCGAAAATATAATTGGCTGAATCATAGAAAAGCAAAATTAAGATCGTGTGTAGGGTCGAATCGAGATCGTGATCTTTTTTCGATTAATCGTGCAGCCCTAATTATATACATATATATATATATATATATATATATATATATATATATATATATATATATATATATATAGCATTCAGTATTTTTTCTTTCTGTCAGCTTTACTCAAAGGGTTAATAAAACATTACAACTCACATTTAGCTCAGTTTTGTGTCTATTTGTTCAGTTTTGTGGAAGATAATGTTCATTTTTGCAGTTGTTTCAGTAGTATCTGGATGCAGCCTTTGTAATGCAAGCTGAGATTGCTTCACTTAGCGATGCAATGGCAGATGCAATGCACTCAAATGGAGCGAATGACGTCATTGTGAGGGGTGGGGTTAGACGAGCCCATTAAAAAGATTGATTGCAGCTCAGATTGCACTGCACCAGGTCTGCATCCAGACCCCTCATTGTTTTTGGAGAATCAAGCCCTTTCGTTTTATACTGATAAACTAACAACTGCTTGACATTAAACTTAAACATTAAGGATTGAAAATCACGAGATCGTTAGTTTGGTTTGAAGTCATAATTTTATTACAAACACACTGTGTTTTGTGAAAGAAATTTAATTTACTTATCTCTGTGTTGGAATGAATGTCTCTCATCTGCTTGGAATCTGTCTGATAAACCAAAATGCTTATTATTATCAGATTATTATCAAACATGACCTCAGTCACCTGCACATACTTAAAAATGCATAAAATACAAATTTGATTGTATACGTTTATCGAGAACAATAACATTCATTTTTTTATTCAATTCAATTCAATTCACCTCTATTTGTATAGCGCTTTTACAATGTAGATTGTGTCAAAGCAGCTTCACATAAAACATCATAGTAAATTAGAACAGTGTAGTTCAGTTTTTATTGTTTAAGTTCAGTTTAGCTCAGTTCAGTTTGGTTTAATAATCACTACTGAGAGTCCAAACACTGTAGAGCAAATCCATCGATGCGTAGCTCTACCGATCCCAAACCATGCAAGCCAGGGCTCGACAATAAGGACTGCCCGATGGCCCGGGGCCAGCGTGCGAGACACTCGGGCCAGTGTACAGAATGTTACTGGCCCGATCGGGCCAGTGCTGCCTTTTTGCCTGCCAGATCGAGCCAGAGCTGCGTGCTGCGACTGTCTGTCAATTGTGTGCAAATGCAATCTTTCGGTGCTTTTACACATAGACGTTTGTTTCGGAATCTGTGTCGTTTCCCCCGTTAGCGCGTTTTTTTTTTGGCATGTATCCAGCAGTTGCGCTCGCATCCGCGTTAAATCAATCAGTCCGAGATCGCCTGAATGAGATGGTCTCTGTTCTATTGAGCGAATCGATTGTAGCGAAAAAACAAAACAATGCAACGAACTAACGACCCAGGCTATATCACAGTGTATTATGTTCGTGTAATAGCCATATATACGGCTATATGAAGAGAGAATGATGAGCAGGGCGAGATGTCATTCTTACCGGTAAATGCGAAAGTGAAAGCATGCTGAAATATTACCGAGAGCTGTTTATCCAGCCTGATCTCAGTTTATCCGTTAGGAAAATTGACCGAAGTTAATATCTGATCATTTTTTCCATGTTTTAATCTTACAATATGTTGTGTTAGGCCAGTTGTTTTGTTCATTTCTGCACTGACAGCTCGAAAGAAAATCAACATTGATCTGCTTCGCGATCTGATGCAGTCTCGGTTCACCTGCTATGTCTCTCTATAATTTAAGCCTAAAATACAGAATTATAGTCAACGTTTTTTTAATAGATTGATTAATTCAATAGATAGATATCTACAAAACCTGACAATTGAAATGAGGCTCTGTATGAGAAAGTCTGATCTCGATTTGTATGTGGTGACGATGTCTATGGGTTGTTAAAATTAAAGTGCACATTTTCACTTATAAAATATTTTATACACAACTGGTCAAAAGTTTGGGGTCAGTATGATTGTTAAATATGTTCAACTAAGCTTCTTCTGCTCACCAAGGCTGCAATTATTTCATCATAAATACAAATTGTGAAAGGTTGCACTATAAAATAACTGTTCAAAAGTAGTTTATCATTTGATTCATTCATTTATTCCAGTGATTTTAAAGATGAAATTTCAGCTTCATTACTCCAGTCACATGATCCTTCAGAAATCACTAATATTAATCATTATTATATTTATTAATGGTAATAGTAATCAAATCAATAATGTCTAGAGTAATGGTTTTATTTGAAACTACATATAATAACAAAGCAGTTATTTAAAATTTTGATAAATATTTAACAATTAAACATTTTTTTAATTTACATTTAATAAATGTAGTCTTGATGAACTGAATAATTTTCCTTAAAAAACATTTTAAAAATTACTGTAAATATATATACAGAGTTATTAGCCCCCTTTTGTTTTTGTTTTTTTTTCTTTTTAAAATATTTTCTAAATGATGTTTAACAGAATATACAGGGGTGCTAATAAACAGGGTTGCTAATAATTTAGGGGGACTAATAATTCTGAAATCAACTCTGTGTGTGTGTGTGTGTGTGTGTGTGTGTGTGTGTGTGTGTGTGTGTGTGTGTGTGTATGTATATATATATTTATACACACACACACACACACGCACAGTCAAATAGCTATTAACTTCTTCTTTTTTTTTGGTGGGGCGAGTGAAAATTTTGGCAGGGCAAGTAAAAATCAGAACCACTGGCCCGATCGATTTTTACGAAAAAAAATCCTTAGCGTTGAACCCTGCAAGCTAGTGGCAACAGCGGCGAGGGGAAAAAAAAAACTTTACAAATTGGTGAAAGTGAAAAAAAAAAACTTTGAGAGAAATTCAACCTTTTCAATTTCTCCGCTGGCCAAACGTCTTATGCAGAGCTGCAGACTCAAGCTGGGCTTCAGCAAAGACTTGTCTGTCCCCGTAGCGTCACAGGAATCAGTCTCATGC